TAATAATAATAATAATAATAATAATAATAATAATAATAATAATAATAATAATAATAATAATAATAATAATAATAATAATAATAATAATTTTAAAAACGACACAATACCAATGCTGCATCTTTTTTTTTTTATACAACAGCCCTGCAGACTAAGTTTAGCAGACAATGGACTTGGTTGATCATTTACATACCCTGTTTTACGGAAAATCTTGCATGCGATGCAATTCCAGAAACGGTGTCCTAGTAACGACTGAAGCTTTAATTTGAAATCCACCAGAGGAAGTCGCATCTGTCCTGGGTAGATCACTGATGAGTGTTGGAGCCGGGGCTGGCTCTAGGACCTTGAGGAGCCGTTCATTGAAGCACATGGTTGCAACTCATAAGACAACACTTCTCAGCAGTAATTGCCCTGGAATTGATGTCACTCCAGCGGGTGACCCCGGCAGTGTCGAGTGTCACCGTGCACCGCTCGCTTCACTTCCTCTGCCACATCTCTGAGTGCGCTCCGCCGCTGCAGCTGCATCTCTCTGTGACTTGGACACTCTTGAATGGAGAAAGTGCACGGAGCAGAATCAGCTGTTGTCGGGATTTCCGAAAGCCCACACTTACTTGATCATATTTCAGGAAGTCGTTTTATTTTGGGGTGGTCGGGGCTCCTGCACATCAGCTGTTGCTGAGCTGGGGGAAAGCCGTGCGATGGCTGCGCTGCAGTGAAACAGTGAAGACTGTCCCGTCCAAGCGTCAGCCGGGCATCATGATCCCCGGTACACGGAGCCGGAACTTTGTTATTCTGACAGTGTTCCAGGCTTTAACTGTTCCTCTGTGGGTGTGCGGCAGCCTGATCTCCACACATGCTGAGGGTGAGTGATGAAAGAGGGGGAGAGAGGATTTGTTGTCATTTTGTGATGATGCGTTAAAGATCCGTGCGTAAAAGTTGGTGATCGGTGGCAATTAGGCATGACAATGGTTAAAATGGTGAAAATGAAATGTGCCAAAACTCAGAATCAGAATAATAAGTGATAATAATTATAAATAATCATATAAACCGTTTGCACCCGGTGAATTGGTTTCTATTCTATTTTATTCTATTTATGTCAGAGCAGGGTAAATCAGTCATTCTGAATCAACACATTCTAGTTTAGCTATGATTTATAGCATTTATCATTGTTTTTATTACATTATTATATTTTATTGTCATTATATATTTTGTGTAATTCTGAATATGAGAAGAATACCATAAATCACATATATATAGATATATATATATCTATATATATGTGGCTTTCAGCAGGCAGTCTTATCAGCCTGTAGCTCACAGGAGAGGAGAGAAGCCCCTGTATAATTTATGACGCTGAATCCCTCTTTGGAAATCAGTACAAGCACTTGATGCACTCCACTACCACTCAAACCTTTAGTTTTCCCAGGAACATGCCTCAGTGTTCACTTACACGACATTTCAGGGTTATTTTTGTGAAGCAGCTTTTTTTTTAAGGAAAAGAAAAAGAAAAAAGAGAGAAGAATTTGTGTAGCTTCTGCTGTGTATACTCTGTTTATGACATTTAGGCAACACACGAGGCAGAGCAGCTTGTGCACAAATGTGATGCCATGTGCCAGTGGGTTTGTTTCTGGGGCTTGTGTTTGAGTGCTTTCGTGTTTGCTTCCCTTGCGGCTGCAGCTCATAACATCTCAGTTGCCAGTGTTCCATGCCCTGGATGCAGATTAAACAAGGACACCACACACGTTCAAACACCATCGAGTGGAGGAGCTGTGCTGTGAGGGTTGGCTCCTATGAAAACTTTTTAATTTGAACACAGTGGCACTCTCCACACTCTAGGTGGAATCATGGGAATTAATTAGCAGGAAGGGCAAACGTGTGGATGTGAGAATGAAGAGTGAGGGAGTTCACTTATTCATCAGCACCTCGTCCGCTTTATCAGACATCTGACTTGTCGTGCGTCTTTGTCGGATTCAGACCTGACCGACACCCTCACCACTGTACTGAACTATCAAAGGATGCAGCTGGGTATTTGTTGATTTCATTAAATCGATGGCAGTTCAGGCCAATCAGGAACTCCCTGAATATCTGCAACCCATACATTATCAATGTAAATATTGAACTGAATAAATATGTATGTTATTATTTATACTTTTATATACAAACTTGTTTACTTTCAGCTAGACCAACAGGCAGTGGTGCATTCAATGTCCTAGTCTTCAAAATCTTCAAAATACAGGCAGTGGTGCATTCAATGTCCTAGTAGATATCTTCAAAATCTGTCTGGCTAATTTAGAGGCTTTTATATATAATATAATTTAAAATTAGACAGTGAATTAGTGATTCTAACTGTAGGTTTACCTGATGTTGGTTCCAGGACCCTCCCCACCACCCACCCTCCAGTTCAGGTCGAATCATTGTAACAACCCTTTAGTGCTCCCTCAGCAACAAGTTAACAAATTCTGATGGTGAAAATGTTGCGACATCATGTCAAAAGAAATGCATTTTAACGAGGAGTGGGATTTTATTTTTGTATTTGTTTCTTTGGGTCCCTCCCTGTGAGCAATTGCGACTCAGCTGTTTCATAACAGACGTGTCCAGTTGCATGTCAGCAAGCGTTGGGTAAGAAAAGACTAGGATTTTAACATCTTCCCCAGTTTTGTTTTTCACTGGACTTTGCTCCTGAATGCAGCCGATCTGCAGATAATTTCACTCTGACTCCATCACTGAATGCTTCTGGACAGTTGTCCAAATTATAATTTTATATATATAAAGTTATACTATATTAAAATGAATTCCTTGCTGTACCACCTGATTATTATTTGCCTTTTATGAATCCTCTCAGTGATCTCCAGGCTGCAGAGCCAGGGTCTCTGTGCATCGTCATGTTTATATATTTCATGACGCGGCACTGTTTCCTTCTTCCTATTTGTCTTGAAAATGCCACTGTCATAGCTGGAGGTCTTTGGTGAATGATTGGGTCCAGCGGGTGATGCACTCGATCTGAGTCAGTATTTATGTGCCCACCTAAGGCGGCACGAGTGTCTGTGCCGTGTGCTGCGCTCTCATAACAATGGGTTCTGATTGGAGAGCATATTTTGGGAATAAAAGTAAAAAAAAAAAAAAAAAAGGTTAAAACTGAGGGGCACTCCTCTCTGAGCACTGCATTCCCCAGTGAGACATTATCACCAGGTTGTGCATGACAACAGATTGATCAAGCAGTTGTTATGCAGAGGGAGATGGGGGGTGGGAGGGGGCTTAAAGGGCTAGACTTGGCTCCTTTGTCTTTACCTTACATATGTTGTATTCATTTGTTTGAAAACGGCTCTGGACTTAGTTGACCATCCTCACAAAAGTTAAACATACAAACTGGAAACAGATGTCGCCTCTGGATTTTGTCAGAGTTGAGTTCAGCTCCGTCGGGTTGGACAACTGAACGAATATCTTGGCTATTCTCCGAGTCGATCGTTGTGTTCTGGGCGGATTTTATTTGGCGTCCTCAAATAATGGTCTGCCTCCTCAAGAATTCAAGTCTATAAAAAACAATACTGAGAAACACCATGAGGGAATTTCTCCTGAAATTGGCTGAAAACATTGATTGGTGTGGAGTGAAAGATGAACTCAACAGATTTTGATGAATGTCACTGTGACCTTGACATCTGAAGACATTCTTTTATATATATATTTTTTGGAGAAAAAAATTCCTAAAACCAACAGAGCGTTCTAATATTTCTATAGAGTCTATTTGAATCATGAAATCGTGGGTGTTTTCGTCCCGGCAGTAGGCGCGGGGTTACCACAGGACACAGCAGAGCTTCCTCCAGTCCTCCAATCTCATTGGTCCCCGAATGTGTTGAACTCTTTACCAGAGCAGATCTTCAGTTTCCTGCATGGGGACTTCCTCTGGTACCATAGAATTCTTGTGGTTACAACTGGAGGACCCCTCCTCACAGCTCTCCTGACAGCTGAGCTGACAGGTGAGTTGGTTGCGGGTGAGATTGATGGCTCTCACTTTTAGCCTTTGAGAATAGCTTACGGGTGAGTGACAGCTGAGCACCGAGCCTCAAGTTCAACTCCTTTGTGTCTTTTTTTTTTCGTAAAGTACAGTAGTGTATCCTGATCAGCACCTTTTCCTCTAGGGGCCTTAATTTCTGATGATTTCTTTTTTCACACCCAGTTTGCGTTTCAACTTCTTGAAGGCGGCTAGGCGCTACACGCCAGCTTTGTACTGCTGCAGTAAGATTCCGCTCGTGTTTTTACTGAATCTGAGCAGCTCATCCCGACTGCTTGGTTTTCTGTTCCCTTGCATCTTAAGCACCTCCTCCAACGTCTGACGGAGGGCCATCTGCTCGACTCTCATGTTAGTCATTATGAGGTGGTTTTGCACTGCAGAGTTTTAAAGGTTCAGTTTCTTTATGAATCTAATACTAAGAGTCATCAGCCTGCTCCGGCGTAGAGACGTTAGCTTCATTCCTTTCCCTTCCAATTATAGAAGGACACTTTGATCCCCTCTAGTTCTTCCTCTAGTGTGTTTCCTTTCCTCTCCATACAAAAGCTTTCAGGTCAAAAACAAACTCAAACTGGGAACTTTACTTTCATTTTTTGACACTCACTCCTGGGCCAAATGACTGTGATGCACATTAGTTTTAATTGGTTCAGACCCTAACCAGCCTGAGCTTAAACCAAAAAACAGAGTGTACATGTGATTACACCCTCAACGGCTTCACTTTATTTAGTGTAAAAGCAAATCTGTCGGATAGCTCAGGGCGACACCCTTTTTATTTATATGAAATGTTTCAACTCCGCCAAGATGGTACGATTACAGCATCAATGACACGTCTTTCTGTGGAGGCGTCCACAGACAGGTGCTTTCCTCTCCACGTTGCACGTTTTGCACATGAAAAGAACACGCGTATTTTCTCTGCAGTTCCTCCTGAACACCGGCTTCCTCTGCTCCAGAATGAACACAAATAGCATTATCAGGATACTATCTTTTATGCTAGAGCTAAAAAAACACTCCTCAGCAAAAAAGAAACAGAAATAATCTTTTACCTGTTGAGGTCATGTGCCTGGAATTCTCCATCTCTCTTTTGTTACTTGCTGATACTGAATACCATACTGATACATCTTTAGTTTGGGTTCCAACAGACGTGTACTAGCTACAGTTCTCTGCACTGCGGTGGTAAACCACAGGGAGGAAACCAATCGGGAAAATGCTTCCAGCCTGTTTTATTAAAGAATAAATAATGTTAAACTTTATGCCCAGTTAACACAGCCAAGTGAACAGAAAGTGAGCAGAGCTTTCACGCCAAAACACTCACACTGCTTTCCAGTTAACAGAATGAGTCTCAAAGTATTCTTCCATAGTTCCATAAACAAATCATCACACACAATGTTGGCGCAATAATTCAACTCAACATAACAGTGACAAACTGAGGTTTTTCATCTACACAGAGATGCTGCTGAACTGAGACGGAGACTGATGACGCGTCCTCAGCTGTGTCCTCAGTGCATCCCCCAGATTAAGCTAATGCTCTCTGAACTTTTGCCAGTGAGAAATGGTTCAGGTTTACTTTTTTTACGATTTCTACCCCCAGTTCACATAAAATCATCTCACATAGTTGCCATTTCTGGGGGCTTCCATTTAGTTAAATCCTCAGGCAGCAGCCTGCCTTACTGACCATGTTAGAAAGACCATGCCCCAGGCATTTTTAGAGAACAGGAACCGAGCCAAAACTGGATTAACACAATGTACTGCACTATACATGCTGAAGGAAATTTCCCCCAGTTGTTCCATATGTACTGTTAAATACAGTACATTCAATATCACCCTCAGAGACCTGAAACAGAGAATTATGTTTTAGC